GTTAAATGGGAAACTATTTCGTTCTGTAAGCCTTTATCTTAAGTGAGAATAACAGCACAATTGGAAGAGTGTAGTCAATGTCACTGAACTGTGTATGTAGAAATTTTTGAAATGGTGTATCTTTGGCTATGTCTATTCCCCCCCCCCAAAAAAAAAAGATCGAGAAGGGAGAGTGTTGACATGTTGTGGGGTTGTTAACCAATGTCATAAAACAATATGTGCACTACTGTTTCATGAGAAACTATTTGTTCTGTAAGCCTTCACCTGAAGTACAATAAAAAAAAAAAAATTAAAAAAAAAAGCAGTGCCAGGAGCAGAGCGCGTCCTTTGGACAGTGGTCCCTGCACCAAGAAGCTCCTAGTCCGGGGGAACACTGATGACAAGGCCGACAGAGAAAGACTTCCCCTGGAGCTGATACCCTGAATTTGGACTTTTAGCCTACTTTGACTGTGAGGAAATAAACTTCTCTTTGTTAAAACCATCCACTTGTGGTATTTCTGTTATAGCAGCACTAGATGACTAAGGCAATATGCTACCTGCTGAAATGGTTGAATGTTGACCAATTCTTTTTGGTCCAGTGACTCTGTGTATTCCTTCCATCTTCTTTTGATGCTTCCTGCGTTGTTCAGTATTTTGCCCATAGAATGCTTCAGTATTGCAACGTGAGGCTTAAATTTTTTCTTCAGTTCTTTCAGCTTGAGAAACGCTGAGCGTGTTCTCCCCTTTTGGTTTTCTAACTTCAGGTCTTTGCACATTTCGTTATAATACTTTAATTTGTCTTCTGGAGCCGCCCTTTGAAATCTTCTGTTCAGCTCTTTTACTTCACCATTTCTTCCTTTTGCTTTAGCTGCTCTACGTTCAAGAGCAAGTTTCAGCGTCTCTACTGACGTCCATTTTGGTCTTTTCTTCCTTTCCTGTCTTTTTAATGACCTTTTGCTTTCTTCATGTATGATGTCCTTGATGACATCCCACAGCTTCTCTGGTTTTAGGTCGTTAGTGTTCAATACGTCAAATCTATTCTTGAGATGGTCTCTAATTTCAGGTGGAATATACTCAAGGTCGTATTTTGGCTTTCGTGGACTTGTTTTTAATTTTCTTCGGCTTCAACTTGAGCCTTGTTCTGACTGATGAAATTGAACTTCTCCATAGTCTCTTTCCACAGATGTAGCAAATCTGATTCTTGTGTATTCCATCTGGTGACGTCCATGTGTATAGCTGCCATTTATGTTGTTGAAAAAAGGTGTTTCCAATGAGTAAGTCGTTGGGTCTTGCAGAATTCTATCATGGGATCTCGACTGTCGTTTCTATCACTAAGGCGATATTTTCCAACTACTGATCCTTCTTCTAGGTATAGGAGTTATGATTTACAATGCATATTTCTTGGGGGCACAATTGATTCCATGACACCCAGCAACCCCCAGGGGTCTGTGTCCTCTGTGTAGCGTCCCCCATAGGCCTGGGCAGAGACAGCCATGAAGTCCGAGAGGAAGCTGACAGTGACGAAGGTGACAGTGATGTCTCTGTGTGTCCCCCCTTCCCCTGCTGCAGGGTGCCAATGGGCCTTGGGGGTGTCTATGTCCACCCCTCGCTGACGAGGTAACGAGGTCCAGCTGCACGGGCCCACCACCCAGACTCCATCTGCAGGGAGAAGCCTGAAAGAAGGTTTTGGAAGATACTGTGGCTGTGCCCTGGGTGGCTCATGGGCAGCACAGGGTCTCCCGGGAGTGGTCATGCTACAGTGTAGGCCTGCCCAGGAGTTCAGCTTCGGCCCCCGTGCCCTGAAGGACGCCCTGGTATCCACTGATGCGGCCTTGCGGAAGCTGTATGCCACAGCCTTCTCCCCAGCAGAGCGGCTCTTCCTCGCCGAAGCCTACAACCTCCAGGGGACACTCTTCTGCTCTCTGCAGATCTACACGGCCTCCGACTGGCTCCTGAGCCGCCCAGAGGCCCCCGAGGACTTCCAGGCCTTCTACCAGTCCCTGCTGCACCGGAAGCAGAACCTGGGTCGGAAGCACATCTACCTGCAGCCCATAGGTACCAGGTGGGACCGGGGCAGCGAAGCCCACTTCCCGCCGGGCAGCCACTTGGTAGTGAGCTGAGAGGGGGCGTCCTGGAGCCGTAGGACCCAGCTGGAGAGGACGAGTGCCTCCATATAGCACAAGGCAGGGGTGGGGGCTGTGCACGGGACCCACAGGGCTGACACAGGGAAAGGCAGCTCTGGGCGTGTTTGGGATCTGAGAACAGCGACGGGGAAGCCTGGCACAGCGCTAAGCTCTCCGCTCACCCCATTTCTGGTGCTGTGTATTGAAATCCAGGCGGGGAATTGGTTACAGTGGCAGTGGCAGGCACAGGTGCTGCCTGTCCAGGGGTGCACCCTCATAGCCACCACCCCTGGGTGGTGTGCTTGATCCCTTCCTCTGTGGGGTGCTGGGGTTGGGACCAGCCCGTTTTACAGTTGAGGAAACTGAGGCTCAGAGCAATGGCTCGACCTGATATGTCACAGAGCTGTAAGTGGCAGAGAGAGGTAGAGCAGGATTTGAACGCAGGTCTCTTTGATCCTGAGGCTTATTTCAAGAGCCTGGGCCTGGCCTAGAGGCGCACCCAGGGGTCCCAGCATGGTCACTGACCCCCTGAGGCAGTGGGGACCCAGGCTTGGAGGCTCCGCCTGGACTGAGGGGCCAAGACAACAGGTACTTGCCCTCAGAAGGGGGCAGCTCAGCCAGGTTCTCCATGAAGCCTGCTGGCCAGGGGCTGAGGAAGATGGGGGCTGTGCCCCGGCATGCCTGGGGTGGGTGGTGCAAGCCCGGCAGAAAGAGGCACGGGGTGTCTGCGGCACTTAGCTCTGGAGAGGCTCAACTTCTGCCTGAGAGATGCTCTAGAAAGTTCCCTCTCAGGCCAGTGGCCCAGACGGCAGGGCAAGGCTGGGTTCTGGCTGCCACGCTCCTCAGTGGGCACTCACCAGTCCCCCGTCCCCCCAGCCACGTCCTACCCCTGGAGCCCGAGTCCTGCAGCACCCCTCGCTCTCCCCTCTTCACCCCACATCCAGCCTGCTGCCTCTGCAGACCTGCCTCCTGGGAGCTCCCAGATCCCCCACTTCTCCCCATTCCTCTGCTGGCCGCACAGCGCCGTGCTGACTCACACATGCAGGCCCTTGGGCCTGTGGTTAAAATGCAGGTTCTAGTTCTGGAGTTCTAGGGTGGGGCCTGGGAGTGTGTATTCTAACCCACTCTCAGGTGTGGCTGGTGCTGCTGGCCGAGGGCCCTTTGTCCACCCTTGGTCAGCTGCCCCCCTGATGAAATGCTGCGCTGGTTCTATTGGGGACCGTCGTGGTTCCTCGTGGCCCTAGGAAGGCCTTGCTTGCTGCCCAGTCTCACCACCCCGATGTCATTCTCTGCTCCAATCAGCGTGGCTTTGGTCAGTGATGAAACCCAGCAGGCTGTCTCCAATCTGCTGGCTCCTGCCACCCCCTGTATCACTTGCCCTCACCTGAAGGAGTCCCTGAGTGGTGCCTATGATTAACTGAAAGTTTGGTGGTTTGAATACACCCAGAGGCACCTCAGAAGAAAGGATTGGCAATCTACTTCTGAAAAATCATCCGTGAAAACCCTGTGGAGCACAGTTCTACTCTGACACACAAGGGGTTGCCATGAGTTGGAATCAACTTGACAGCAACTGGTTTACCGCATTTAAAGAAACAAAAACAAAAAAACAGATGGCAGACTGGATTTGTATCCACCTCTCCCCCAGTGATTTGCTGACTCAGGTAGTCAAACCTGGCCCTCACCTGGTCAGCTTGAATGCTTGCAGACTTCACCTAGAAGTCTCTACCTCAGGGGACTTATGGGCATTGGATGAGTCACCAACAACGCCCCCCTGAGCACTTTGTCTCTCAGACCAATCATCACATTTAATAGTATAGGTAGTCCCCTACTTACGATGGGCTTCCATTCTGACGACTCTGTCATAAGCTGGTTTTGACATAAGTTGAATACCTCACTATTTTTAGTTTTCATTATTATTCCCTCTTATTATTAGTATCTTTATAAATCTGATCTTTGTCTTTGGGAGTTGGAAACATTACATGTAAACTTAGAGATACGATGACATCAGCAAATTACATGCTGCAATATTGTATGTAGCACATATTACTAACAGTAAGATGTATAAAAACAAAACAAAACCAACAGTCGTAAGGGTAGTTCGTCGAAACTTCAATACGTCATAAGTTGGAGACTACCTGTGGTTACTTGTTCCTTCATCTGGGCATGGACTTCTCTCCTTCCTCCGTTTTTTGCCATTATAAGAAAAGGTTTGCTGATGTCTATCTCTCCTGGAGGGCAGGCCCACATTGACCTTGTTCTCCCAGCTGGCTCAGTGCAGGCCGATTCCCCCTGGGGAGGGTCCTGGGTAGGCAGTGGGCTCTGCAGGCGGGTGGTGGGGGGCACAGCAGGCCAACGGTGCTGCTCTGCCTACAGATCTGAGTGAGGGGCCAGTGGGATGCCCCCTGCTGGACAGTGTGCGGAGCTGCACCGAGGCCTTCTTCCGGGGCCTGAGGGTCAAGTGCCTCCCCTCGGTGGCAGCCACGTCCATCCACTGCTCCTCACGCCCCAGGCGGGACTCAGACCGGCTCCAGTTCCACACAGGTGCGTGAGCCAAGGGTACCATTCAGGTGACGGCAGGATGGGTCTCCCTTACTTAGAAAGAACCCCTCTCCAGAAGGCAGAAGGTGGGAGAAGGAACTCAGGAGGTTGTCTTAGTCTGGGTTATCTAGAGGAGCAAAACCAGTGAGATGTGTGTGTGTGTGTCACACACACACACACACACACACACATACATAGAGAGAGAGAGGGAGAGGGAGGGAGGAAGAGATTTACTTCAAGGAAATGGCTCATACAATTGTGGGGGCTAGAAAGTCCCAAATCTGCAGGTCAGGCAGTAGGCTGGAGACTTCTGCAGACTTATGTCCCAGGAACTGGAGGTCAGGTGACAAGAAAAGTGCAGGGTCGAGAGAGATCCAGCTTTGCCAGAACCACTGGAGGCAGGCCACACCCCCAAGGAAACGCCCCTTTCAACTGATTGGCTGCTCACATCAGATTACATCATGGAAAGTGATTACATTCTATTACATTATGGAAGAGCACCCAGTCCAGTGTCTGCCAAACTACTGAGAATCACAGCCCAGCCAAGTGGACACATAACATTGACCATCACAAGGATGAATAATTTTTGCTGGGGAGGGGGAAACATTTATTTCCTAGCCTTTTGAAAAGAAGGACTACCAAAACAAGGAGCCCTTTCCCTCCCAGAATAGTGGAGACTTGAACATACAGCCCACTGTGCACTAGAAAACTCTGAGCAGGCAGAGAAGACGAAATGAGCCCTTTTAAGGTCACTCAGCATCTGTTCAGGCTTTTGTCCTTGCAAAGCACTCTAGATGTGGCTAGAAGACCCAGCTCACCATTCCTGGGAGTTACTGGCAGCTGAAGAAGTGAGGCTGGGATGAGGCAGAGATTAACTGGAGGATCTCAGATATACAGAAGAACCAGAGTCAAATTTAAGGAGGTCTCTAAGAAGGGTCTGAGGCTCTGTGTGTGATTGATGCCGGACCTGGAATGAGTGGATTGATTTCTTTTATCAGTTCTAGGAAATTCTCAGCCATTGTCTCTTCATATACTGCTTCTGCCCCATTCTCTTTCTCCTCTCCTGGGACTCCAATTGAGTGTATATTAATCCTTCTTACTCTCTGTTCTTGATCTCCTCCTCCTTCTCTCTCTCTCTGTATTTTTCATCTTTTTACCATCCATGCTTTATTCTTATCCTCCAGTTTACTAATTCTCTCTTTAGCTGTAACTAATGCTATTAGGAGCCCTGGTGGTGCAACAGTTAAGTGCCCAGCTGCTAACCAAAAGTTGGCAGTTCAAACTCACCCAGAAGCTCTGCAGAAGAAAGACTCGGTGATCTGCTCTTGTAAAGATTAAAGCCTAGAAAACCCTGTGGGGAAGTTCTATTCTGTCACGTGGGGTCGCTATGAGTCAAAAATTGACTTGACAGCACCTAAAAACAACAGCAATGTGCTATTAAACACATACCTTGAGTTCCTGATTTCAGTTATTGTATTTTTCAGTTCTATAGTTCCTAGTGGATTCCTTTACAAATTAACAGCATCACTTTTTATAGTTTCCAATTCCCTGCTAAAAATTTCAAGCTCAGCATTTTAGTCCACGAATATAGTTGCTTTACTATGTCTGTGTCTGATGATTCACTCTTTTAAGTGCCCACGTGACTATTTTTGTTGTTTCGGCTAATTCTGTCTCAGTTTTCTGGTCTCATTGTGTGTCTTGTTATTTTTATTGGTAGCTGGATATTTTATTTGAAAAATCATTTAAAGTTTTATATGTAGTTTGTGGCCTGGGCAGATGTTACCTTTCTCCAGTGGGAAAATATCTCTCCCTCTGCCAGGCAACTTAGGGCATTGCCAGGCTGGGATGAAGACAAGAAGCTTCTCTGGGTCTCTCTAGTGACCTGCAGGAGAACAGTCTGCATCCCTCTCAGGGTGCCCAGCCCGTTGGGGGAGCAATCAGAGTAGGCGGTGTGTCATTAGGGCCGCCCTGCCTCATCCATCTCAGAAACAGCTCAGTTTCACCTTTTTGAGCTGTAACATTCTCCCTATTTCTATTTTCCTTGTTAGGTCTTTGATTTTTTTTTTTTTTAAGTCAGGTTTATTAAGGTATAATTTACATATGGTAAAATTCATCCTTTTTATGAGTTTTGATAAATACGTATAGTCACATAGCTACCACCATAATTAAGATATAGAACAATGTCACCATGCCCAAAGATTTTCTTAGTGTCACTTGTAGCCAACTCCTCTCTCATCTTAGATGTTTTAAGAAATTGTTCTTTGTATTTCTCTTGGCTTGTCTGATTATCTTTCACAGGACGGTTGGACTAAATTCCCTAGTGTGCCATTACAGGAAGCAGCCAGCACTGAGTTTTCAGGGTAGATAGGCACTGCCTGGCCAGGGTAGGGTTGCCATCCAGATGGTGGCATGTTCCTTTTCTATGTCCCTATCTTCAGGTTTGGTCACTCTGAGAACCAGCCTGCACCTGAGGCAGAACCTTGGCCTACAGGCTCCCCCGACCCTTCCTGAAGGTTGGACTGGGGCACAGGGAACAGCATGGCCCTTTGGGTATTCAGCCCCAAAATCAGGGCCTGGGATTCCTGCTTCTCAGAGGACTGAGCTCCCAGCCCCTTCACCCCCTCCTTCATTCCACATGAGGTGCCATCACACCTGTTATTGCTTCTATCTGACTAGTGTCCCTGGGAGACAAGGGAGAAATCAAGCCTCCATCCCACCCACTCCAACTGTACCTTGGAGATCCCCAGCACTGAGTTGCATAAAAGTGTCATTAAAACAACTTAGGAAGGTTCAAAAGGCAGATAGAACCCAAAGGTTAAGCTAGGTTAAATTCTTGTGGTCAGATTAGTTTATTTAGATCATCATCATCACCACCACCACTATCATCATCATCACTATCAACATCATCACCATCAACATCATCACCACCACTATCATCATTATCACCACCATCATTATCATCACCATCAACATCATCACCACCACTATCATCATCACCACCATCATCATCATTATCACCATCACCACCACCACCATCATCTTCTTCCTTATCATCATCACCATCAACGTCATTATCATCATCACTACCACCATCATAACCAATACCATCATGACCATCATCATCATCACCATTATCACTATCACCATCATCAACACCACCACCATTATCACCACCATCATCATCACCTTAACAGTGAAAATTCCTTAGCCCCTCCTCCATGATCTCAGCCACTTGTTCCCAAGGTCACTACTTAGACTGTGCTGTCCAGGACAGTAGCCACTGGCCACATGTGGCTGTTGAGCACATAATATGTGGCTGATCCAAAATGAGATGTGCAGTAATGAAAAATACACACCTGATTTTGGAAACTTAATACGAAAAAGAGAATGTAAAAAAATCCCATCAATACTTTTTTAATATTAGTTACATATTAAATTGGGTTAAATAAAATTATCAAAATCAATTTCACCTGTTTCTCTTTACTTTTTAAAAATGTGGCTACTGGAAAATTTAAACTCACATCTGTGGCTTATCTTCTATTTCTACTGGACAGCGCTGCACTAGACATCATCGTTACCAACAATTCCATCATCTCAGTCATCAGGAATTTAAGCTCCTGCTCTAGAAGCACCTCCTCCAATATTTCCATCTCACCCTCTCTAGTACCCTGACTCTAACTATTCTTTGATCCCATCAGGGACAACCCATTGATCCTACCACCTTCTCACTGTCCGTTATTCACCTCCATCCTCACTTCCTGCCTTACCAGACTTTGATTTCATGGTTCATCATAATAATCACTCTCTTCATGTACACTCAACTCCCTTGCCCTCCTCTTCCTTCACAGTACCCACCTGGTTAAATCCAGCTTCCTGTCTACCCACGCAGCTGAATACAACAGCAACAACTTGATGCATGACCATGAACCCAAGGGTGCCCTTTATGGTACCGGGAACCCATTCCCACCTTCTCCTCTCTCCTCCAACCACCATCACCTCCTCCTTCTTTTCAGATGATGACTGACAGATTGAATTGTGTCCCCCAAAAAGATATGTTCAAATCCTAACTCCAGTACCAGTGAACATGACCTTGTTTGAAACATGACGTTGTCTGAAGATATTAACAGTTAACATGAAGTCATACGGGAGTAGGGTGGATCCTAATCCAATCTGACTGTGTCCTTACAAAAAGAGAAGAAACATAGAGAGACACACAGAGGGAAGATGGCCATGTGATGACAGAGGCAGGGATTGGAGTGATGGTGCCATGAGCCAAGGAATGCCAGGGATCACCAGCAACCACCAGAAGCTGGAAGAGGCAAGTAAGGATCTTCCCCTAGAGCCTTCAGAGGGAACATAGATCTGCCAACACTTTGATTTCAGACTTCTGGCTTCCAAAACCATGAGACAATAAACTTCTCTTGTTTAAAGCCACCTAGTTTGTGGTACTTTGTTATGGCAGCTCCAGGAAACTAATACCCTTGCCTTTTCCACCTTCTAGAGGCCACCCACATTCCTTGGCTCATGCTGTCTTCCTCCATCTTCAAAGCCAGCAGTAGAACATCTTCAAATCTCCCTCTGACCCTCTGGTTCCATCCTTACATCCCCTTTTCTGATCTGACCCTCCTGCTCCCTCTTACAGGGACCCTTGGGATTACACTGGGCCCACCTGGACAGTCCAGGATCATCTTCCATCCCAAGATCTTTAACTGAACCACATCTGCGAAGTCCTTTTAGCCATGGGAGGTACCATAGTCACAGTTTGGGGACTAGGACATGGATGTGTTTGGGGTCATGACCCCCTACAGACACCAGTCCCATGTGGCTGTGCCAGCACTTCCCCATGAACTCCATCTCGTTGGCCCAGCTGCCTTTTCAGCATCCACACTCGGGTGCCAAGGGGCATCTCAGACTACACGTCCAAGCCAGACCTCCTTCCTACACCTGTCCCTCCACTGTCATCTTTATCTCCATCCTTCCACATTTCTGTGTGTCATCTTTTTTAAAAAATAATTTATTTCATTTTTTTGTTGTTAAAAATATACACAGCAGAACATACACAAATTCAACAATTTCTCCACGTACAATTCAGTGACATTTTACCGTTCTGACCCTCCTTTTCTGAATTGTTCCTCCCCCATTAACATAAACTCACTGCCTCCTAAGCTTCTTATCTAACCTTTCTAGTGGCTGTTGTCAATTTGATCCCATAAGATAGTTAGTTCTTCAAAAGAGCATGATGCTTGAGGGAGATATCCTTTACTAGTTAAGCTAAACTATTGTTTGGTTTAAAGAAGACTTCAGGGGATATTTTTGGCTTAACATTTAAGGTTTAGGGTGTTCAGCCGCCCTCCATGGCTCCAGAAAGTCTGGATTTCATGAGATGTGTACTATCTTTGACGCCCCTCTTTCACATGCCATGTCCAACCCACCAATAAATTCTGTTGGCTTTGCCCTCCAAATTGGGTCACTTTTTACCCTCTTCATTGCTGCCATCAGGGCCCAGTCACCACATTTCTCACTGGGCTTATTGCAGTGGTCTCCCTCAGGCTTCCCCATGCACCTTCCAGTCCATTCTCAGCAGCAATGGGAGCGATAAACCCAGGCTGGTGCATGACACTTGCTCAGAGGAGGCCCCCTCGGCACCCTCCAACCTCACGTCTGCCTCCTCTGCCCCTCGCTCACCCTCCTGACGTGCTGACCCCTGTGCTGCCCCTCCAGTGGGCCAGGCCACCCTGCCTCAGGGCTTCTCTGCTGGATGTCCCCTCCGCTGGGAGTTCCTCCCCTAAATAGAGGTATGGCGCAGTTCTCCATCTCAGCAGATCTTTGGTTAAGTGTTACTTTCTCAGGAGGCTCTCGTGACCACCTTATTAAAAAGGACAACCCAGACCCTCTTTTGCCTGCAATTCCCTTCTCCCTGCCTTGTGTTTCTCCATCATTGATCATCCCTGGCATCCTGCACGTTTTGCTTCTGTCCTCTCTGTCTCCCAACTAGAACACAAGCTCATGAAGGCTGTGGTTTGTCTCTCTTGTTCACTGGTATAATCCAGCCCCTATAAGTGTGCCTGGTATGCTGAAGGTGCTCCACAAGTGTTTGTTGGGAATGCTGAAGGTGCTCAATAAGTGTTTGTTAAATGAAGTAATTGATGGACTGTGGCAGGTGTGCTGTTGAGAGTATTCTGTTCTTTGTCTTATTGCATCCTCACAACAGCCCTCTGAGATAGGAATTATTAACATCTTCCCCCTGTAAAGTTGAGGAAACTGAGCCCCCAGGAAGTTACACACCTGCCCAAATCCCACTGGCCTGATTCAAAGCACAGGCACTTGTTCTACCTGGTGCAGCTTGCCGCTGAGTTCTCCACCTCTGACTAAACGTCTCTTGCAGAACGTCACTGTCACTGGCTTGGGTCTGACTTTGGGGAGGGGTTGGTCTGGGCAGAGAAGGGATTTGCAGAGTGGGCCTGCCCAGAGTGTGGGGAGCTAGGCAGTCAACTGAAGTTAATGGTTGTTGTGGTGAGGAGGCTGGCATGGGGCAGAGGCCGGTGCCAGGGCTAGAAGCTGGTCCCAGTCTCCCCCGACTCTGTGCCCTCAGACGGCGTACTCTCCTTCCTGAAGAGCCACAAGCCAGACGATGCACTCTGTGTGCTGGGCCTCACACTGTCTGACCTGTACCCCCGCGAGAGCTGGAGCTTCACCTTCAGCAAGTTCCTTCCCGGGCACGGTGAGCCGGTGCAGCCCTGCCTGGGAGAGTGCCCTGCTGGCCCCCTTGGCCCGGGTTTGTGGGAACCCTGGGCCTCTCCCAATCATGCATGAGGAGAGGTCACCCCTCGTCACTCCCACTCCACACTCCGCTCCAGGAAAAGCTGATGCACACGCGAGGAACAGCCTCTCTGAACTGCAGGCCCCACATTCCAGCTCCTTCCGGGCAATGGCTGTTCCCCAGGGGGCAGAGCCAGCGTGGGTGTCTGTGCCTGGGCCACCTCCATGGGGCACGTTGGCTGGGCGGAGAGGAAGGGGCGGCTTTGACCTTAGCCCCCTTCCCTCTGCCTCTCCCCAGAGGTGGGTGTCTGCAGCTTCGCCCGGTTCTCAGGGGAGTTCCTGCAGCTGGAGCCCGGCGCCTCTGACCCCGCCCCAGTGGAGGTGGCTGCAGACGACCCTGAAGCCCCTGGGCAGGAGAGGGTCCGGACACTGAGCTTCAGCACCCTGGGGATGGTCCAGTGCTGCAAGGTGAGAATTGCTGGGCATCAGTGGGTGGGGCAGAGAGTGCAGGCTGCTTTGCTAACCATAATTGGAGAAGTTGGGGGGTAGGAAGTGGGAGGACAGGGCTGCGCTCAGAGAAGTTACTAAGGACGCAGAATCAGTTGGAGGAAGGAGCTGGTACCAGTGCACCCTCTACACCAGGCCGGTCACAGCCTTATTGCACCCATCCTCTCCACGAGGAGGGCACCCCTCCTTCTACAAGTGAGGACACTGAGGCTCGGAGACGCTAAGTCCTTTGCCCAAGGCCACGGAGCTGTTGAGTGGCAGAACTGGGGTCTGAACCTGCATGTGTCTGATCCCAAAGCCCCCCACCCTGTGCGGCTTCCCAGAGTAGACCACGTGACTCACTTTTCCACGCAGAATAAGCCTCAAGTGTGGCCAGCCGTGTAATAGACATTGTCATCGGCACCCTGGGCAGCCTAGGGCTGGGCTGGGGGTGGCTCTCTGATCAGTCCCGACCACCTGGCCCCTCGGCTTGGTGCCGTTCATCTCCCGGGCTGTGAGTGTCTCAAGGATGGGCTGCATGGTCTGGAGTCAAGTCTGCAAGGTCTGGGGTCGTCTCTTCCCAGGCCACGTGTCATGAGCTGTGCCACCTCCTGGGCCTGGGGAGCTGCCGCTGGCTGGGCTGCATCATGCAGGGTGCGCTTAGCCTGGACGAGGCCCTGCGGCGGCCCCCCGACCTCTGCCCCATCTGCCTACGGAAGCTGCAGCACCTCCTGGGCTTCCGGCTCCTTGACAGGTACCAGGTGAGTCAACAGGTACAAAGTGAGTCAACAGGTGAGTCGCTTTGCTCTGGCTGCAGGGATGGAGGGTAGGGTGGGGAGTGCTTCTCAGCCCTGGCTGGTCCACGCCCACTGTGAGCAGAGAAGCAGAGGGAAACGAATGTGCATTCTCTGTAAACTGTTGGGTCCTGGTGCTGTGGAGCCCTGGTGGAGTTCAAAGACTGGGATGACAGGGGGAGTCTTCATCCTCAGAGCAATCAATTCTTGTAGCTAAAGATCCCAGCTTCCAGCCTGTCAGTCTGGGTTCTCCAGAGGAGCAAATCCAGTGACATGTATATATAAATACAGAGAGATTTACTTCAAGAAAATGACTCACACAATTGTAGGGGCTGGCAAGTCCCAAGTCAACAGGTCAGGTGGCAGGTGACAGGTCTGCTGGCTCACGGGGTTGCAGGGGCTGGCAGATCCCAAATCTGCAGGTCAGACGGCAGGCCAGACGCTTCTGCAGGCTCACATCCCAGGAACCAGAAGTCAGGTGATGGGAAGAGTGCAGGGCTGAGAGAGAGAGCCAGCTTTACCAGAACATCCATTTGTATATGGGAAGAAGGTCACAGACCCAAGGAAACTCCCCTTTCAACTGATTGGCTGATCGCATCAGATCACATCATGGAAGGTGATTACATTATATCACACCCAGGAGCACCCAGTCCAGTGTCTGCCAAAACACTGAGAATCATTGCCTAGCCAGGTGACGCATAGCATTAACCATCATACAGCCCCATCTGCCCTTAACCCAGAAGGGATGGCGGCTGCCAAGGAGCAGGGAGGGGACTACAGGCAGGCTGGTGTTGGGAGGGAGAAGTGAGTCCCTGAAATAGGAAGCACTTGGTCCTCATCAACTTCCTGCTGAGCTGGCCCTGGCCTACAGACTTTGTTTGCAGTTGGCCATCCTGTGTGGTCACTTAGTGCCCTCAGCGCAATGAATGGGCACATAACCTATTTGTACTCAAGAGCACGGAAATCTTTTGCATGGGCGACAAGGCAGCCAGGAAGGGAAAGCTAGGGTCCCTCCAAGCCCCAAGTCTCTCCCCTCACGCCAAGCCCATCGGGGTCCTTTGTGGGTGAAACCCCCCAGCGTCAAGTCCCAGGAACTCCCAAGTGTCACGCTGGACAGTAGCCTTTTGGAACTTGGTCAGCACTAGGGGAAAATGGGCTCTCTCCATATCCTCTGGAGTCCCTCGGTGAACGCACTTGGCCGCTAACCCAAAGGTTGGAGGTTCGAGTCCACCCAGAGGTGCCTCGAAATAAAGCCCTGGTGATCTACTTCTGAAAAATCAGCCACTGAGAACCCTATGGAGCACAGTTCTATTCTGATACACATGGGGGCGCCAGGATTTGGAGTTGACTCCACCATGGCAAGTGGTTTTTTGGTTAATGTAAACCAGGGACTTTGGTTAGCAATAAGGTATCAATATCGGTTCATTAATTGTAACAAATGTATCAAAGAGATGCGAGATATTAATAACAGGAGAAACAGTGTGCAGGGGGAGAGAGGACATATGGGAACTCTCTACTTATTGCACAATTTTTCTGTAAACCTAAAACTGTTCTAAGGAGCCCTGGTAAGTGCCTGGCTGCTAACAAACAGGTCTGCAGTTCAAACCTACCCAGGGCTCTCCAGGAGAAAAGATTTGGCAATCCGCTCCTGTAAAGATTGCAGCCTGGGAAACCCTATGGGGAGGTTTACTTTGTCAAATCCATAGCACACAACAAGAACAACAACAAAAGTGCTCTAAAAAATAAAGGCTATTAAATGAAAAATAGTAATAATGGCCAGTATTTACTAAGAACTTAAACCATGTGCTGAACTTGGATTTATTCATGCTGAGTCGTACATCGCAAAGGCAATTGCATTGCTCTCCAGCATTCCAGCTTGCTTTCCTCTTTCCCCACGGCTTTCAGTGATACACGGATCCCTGCTGCCCAGGAGACTCACATTAGACAAACAAGCATTTGTTTCTTGCTACAACAGAGCCCAGCGCCTTGGGGCTGAGCAATGTGGCAATGCTGCCCTCTACTGTCTACCTGAGGAATTGCCTGGCTGGGGGCAATGGCATCCGTTGGCCGTCCGGGGAGCTGGGTCACCCTGCCCCACTGTGCAGAAAGAACAGACTTATTGATGTGGTAAGATTTGTTTACAAACTCAGAAACGACACCCTGAGTTCAGGGTTCAAAGGCGTGTGACTTATTTTTTCTATAAACCCATCTTTGGATGAATTGACCGAGTTAGAGAGTTTTCATTTGAATAAACGCACAAGGCCTTTCAACCAAATTGCTTTGGTTTAATTTCTTTTAATAGACTTTATTTTTTAGAGCAAGGAGACTTGGTGGCGCAGGGGTTAAGCGCTCGGCTGCTAACCAAAAGATTGGTGGTTCGAACCCACCCAGTGGCTTCATAGGAGAAAGACTGGGGATCTGCTCCCATAAAGATTACAGCAGAGAAAACTCTAAGGGGCAGTTCAACTCTGCCACATGAGTTGATTCGCTATAAGTCAGAATCAACTTGATGGAACACAACATGACATAGTAAATGCAGTTCCGGGGTAATGCAAACAGTCAAGCTCTTGACTACTAGTCAAAAGGTGGCAGTTCGAACCCCCTCCTGTGGCTCTGTGGGAGAAAGACCTGTGTTCTGCTCCTGCAAGATTACAGCCTAGGTTCCACGGGAGAAAGACCTGGCGATCTGCTCCCACAAAGATTAGAGCCTAGAAAACCCTATGGGGCAGTTCTGCTCTGTCACATGGGGTTGCTATGAATTGGAATCAACTCAAATGGCACACAACAACAACATTTTTTAGAGCAGTTTTAGGTTTACAGAAAAATTGCACAGAAAGTATGGAGAGTTCTTGGATTTGTTCAGTGAGTGAACAAGGAAGGTGGAAGGATACAGCCTGCCGCACACCTTTCTCAATGTTGAACCCTGTCCACCAAGGCGGGCTGCTGGTATTGTCTGAGCATAGAGTCAGGCGCGTGGTAAGGACTCAGTCATGAGCAGCTGCTGGGATCCTCGTTCTGGTGGAGCACAGTTCTACTCTGACACACGGGGCCGCCATGAGTCAGAATCGATTCGACGGTGATGGGTTTGGTTTTCTGGTATTGCCCTCGTGTTGCTGTGTGATGTGAGTTGAAGGCCGGCTCTGGTTTGCAAAAAGTTTGGGATTTCTCATTCCGTGACCTTCACCTGAGGCCTTACTCAACTAGCTCAGACATGAACTTTGGTAACTTTTTTACCCCTCCCTCCAGACACACACACATATGCCCTGCACCTGAGCTGGGGAGGTGTATTCGTTGCTGTTGACTGACTCCTGGCAACCTCATGTGTGTCAGAGTAGAACTCTGCTCCACAGAGTTTTCTATGGTTGTTTTTTTGGAAGTAGATCACCAGGCCTTTCTTCTGAGGCACTTCTGGGTGGACTCGAACCTCCAACCTTTCATTTAACAGCTGAGCACATTAACTGTTGGCTGCAAAAAGTTTGCACCACTCAGAGTGCTCCCCGAAATGGTCAGGCCCATACCCTTCCTCCCCGAGAGCTTCATTGCACGGAACAGTGGAGGAGCTTTCTGGGAAGAGAACTAGGAGGAGATGCTCCAGTCCCCATAGAGGGGAGGCCTCTGGGGAACCCAGGAGGGTTGCCAGTGTTCCTGGCTGTTGTACGAGGGGAGAAGTGCAGGTATGGATCTGCTCCCTGAAATCGATTCTGTCCCTGGTCACTGGGACACTCCTGAGCAGTCACAGGTGCCAGAGACATGATTGAGGCCCGGCCAGCAAAGGTCTCCACTGTCTGTTGCGCCTATCGGCAGTGAGCCGGTACATGTCCTCTGAGAGAGAACACCCTGACTGCAGGGTCTGCCCATTTCCGTGGTGTAAATGCTCCCAGCACTCCGATTTCAGACTCCCCACATGATGCCACTGCAGGCAGAGTGGGGACGGGTGTGCAGCCACACACTGCTAGGTCGTACATCCACCACACAGGTGCAACTGTGAAAGTGACCTCAGGAGCAGTGGTCAGAGTAAAACACAGTGAAAATTACTAGGAAGTGATGAGGTGTTCGGAGCATTAATTACCTTTGTTTTTAATATAGTTTTTTACTTAAGTTTTATGCAATTTAACTTTGACCAATGGTTGTGTTGAACAATGGGCTTGCAAAGTCCCTGAAAGCTGAACAGTGAGCTCTTGTGAGCTGGAACAGGTGGCCCCAGGATATCATGGGCTCCAGTTCTCAGAAGCCATGCGTCAAGGGAGACTAACCTGTCACTCACCTGACACTTGCCCCTTGGTAACTGAGGACAGTGGGGTCCCCTTACATGAGGGGCTGGGTCTTGGGCAGGTCACTGGTGGACAAATGACCCAACAGAGAGGTCAGCCCATGTCTCTCCCTTTCAGGAACTCTATGCATGGACGCAGACCATGGCGGGGACCTGGCCTAGCTGGGAGGCGGCCGAGCAGTCAGGATCGGAGGACATGCAGCCCTTCAGCACTGACTCGGGGCTGGGCAGTGAGAATGACTCAGAGGCCCTCACCAGCCTGTCAGAGCCCCTGACACCCGATGGGGGGGCCCCCGAGCTGGAGCCCACGGAGGCACCGAGCCCCGCGGTGGACCTGGAGGGCCAGGCACCGCTGCCCAGGGGCCCCGCAGAGCCCATGGAGGCCCTCCAGGAGTATGGGCTCTGGCTGGCGGCCTGCATCCAGGCCCTGGAGAGGGAGGTGTCTGAGGAGGAGCTGGCGCGGCTGGACGAGGCTGTAGACTCACTGTCCCGATGGGACCTGTTCACTGGGCAGCTCCCGGCCACCCGGCAGGCTCTGTCCAGCGGCCAGGACTGCTCGGGGCTGCGGAAGGCCCTGGGCGGCACGCTGTCGTCCTGGAGGAGGAAGCTCGGCTCGAGGAAGCCGGCCAAGGTGGAGTCACCTCCCTGCCATTGGAGGCAGGAGGAGGATTAGCCAGGCGAGGCCATCTGTCCAATGTGAAAGGAACCACGGTCCCCTGACGCTGGCTGATAATCACGGTTCAGTGACAAGGGCCCTACAGGGCCCCAGGGACGCACGGACCCTCTTCAAGAGAAGCTGGCGGAGCTGTATCCTCAGATGGCTCTTGCGCAGCCCTGGCTCCCACTCCCTCCCTCCAAGGCCCAGCCCACAGCCTGCAGCATGGCCTGCCAGCCCCTCGGGAGACCCAGTACCCTCAGGTGGAGATGGCCCAGGAGTCCCCAGGCCCAGCCGCAGCACTCCATGGGAAGCCCACGCTGGCGACCCTCACTCTCCGGGGCTCCCCGTGGGTGGGAAATAGCATGGGGCTTTGGGCCTGCTTAGTGAGCCCCGGTTGTTATTTATAGCTGGGGGCTCAGAGCTGCCCGGGACGGGAGGGAGCCCCGGGCACTCTGCTCTGCCGCTGCAAACTCTTGGCTTCCGAGGCCATAAGTGGGGTCTCAGCTCAAAGGAAGAACTGGCGTTTTGTTTCTATTGAAAATTCTCCAACCTTAAGAAAACAAAGAGCCATTTTCTGCGGCACTGCCAGCATTCCGATCCTCTGGGACTTCACACCAGGCATCTCAGTGAGCAGGAGGCCCTGGGTGGGGCAAATGGTTAAGTGCCCAGCTGCTAACTGAAAGGTTGGAAGTTTGAACCCGCCTAGAGGCGCCTCAGAAGAAAGGCCTGGTGGTCTACATCCGAAAAATCAGCCATTGAAAACCCTATGGGGCACAGTCCTACTCTGACACAGAGGGGGTCACCATGAGTTGGGGTTGACTTGATGGCAACTGGCTCGCCGTTTCTCCCCGTGTGTTGCAGGAAAGAGTGTCCAATTCCCAGGACGGAAGGGGCTGTAAGACATAGGCCCTTCTCATTCCTGATGCTGCTGTCTGCTGGGACTTGTGGAGGTAGAAAAACTCAGTTCAGTTCTTGGGAGGGTCTTCTGAGGAGGCTGCCTGTGTGTGGGGATCCTTTGGGTCAGGGTGGTTGGTTGGTACTTCGGTCATCTATGTCTTCACCGATTCCTGTCTACCTCTGTCAATTGCTGAGTGTCTTAGTCATCTAGTGCTGCTCTAACAGAAGTACCATGAGTGGATGGTTTTAACAAAGAGAAGTTTATTCTCTCACAATCCAGTAGGCTACAAGTCCAAATTCAGGACATCAGCTCCAGGAGAAGGCCCTCTCTCTCTGTCAGCTCTGGAGGAAGGTCCTTGTGATACATCAGTCTTCCCTTGGTCTGGGAGCTCCTCAGCGCAGGAACCTCAGGTCCAAAGGATGCGCTCTGCTCCCAGCACTGCTTTCTTGATAGTATGAGGCTCCCGTGTGTCTCTGCTCGCTTCTCTCTTTTATATCTCAAAAGAGATTGGATTAAGACACTATCTAATCTTGTAGACGTCATCAGTATAACCTCATCATAGTGATAGAGTTTACAACACATAAGGAGATCACATCAGATTACACAATCATATACAATACTGGGAATCATGACCTAGTCAAGTTGACAGGTATTTTGGGGGGACACAATTCAATCCATGACACTGCGTAAGGAACGTTAACATAGCCAACCATGACTGTGGAGTTTCTTTTCTCCCTTTAGTTTTGTCAAGTTTTGCTTCATGTATCTGAAGCTCTTATTATGTGCAGAAGGAGCCCTGGTGGTGCAGCGGTTAAAGTGCTCAACTGCTAACTGAAAGATCAACGGTTCGAACCCACCCATCGGCTACGAGGAATAAAGACCTGGCGATCTGCTCCTGTAACAATTACAGCCTAAAACCCAACGGGGCAATTCTACTCTGTACTATAGGGTCGCTGTGAGTCAGAATAGACTTGACAGCACACAACAACACGACAGCATGATGTGCATACACATTTGATTGCTGTTTCCCTGAGGAATGGACCCTTTTATCAGCAGCAAATGTCCCTGTCTGTGTGCAATGCCAGAGGCCCAGGGAGAGAAACTTCCGGCCTGACAGTAGCATTCCTGTGGAGTGATGAGGGTGGCCGTCTCAGATATATTTTTGCCCCTCAACTGGGAAGAGGCAAGAACAGAAGCAGTTGATACATTGTGGAGGTAGTTTGTACAATTTTGGGGACCCTCTTTAAAAAAAACAGTACAAAATACACATGTAAAGTTAGAAGGGGCCCAGGCGAGTGAGAAGTGCTGACACTTCCTTATAACTTCCTTGTAATTCTGACACCATCAGGAGAGATGGGTCCCAGTGCCAGCAGAACGCAAAGGGAGGTGTCCGAATCGAGAGAAGCAAAGATATGGCTCAAGAATTGGATCGTTACCTCAAGTCCACAGTTCTCTTTCACGTAGTCTTGGAGTGACATTATAGTTACCCAGGAGGTAACTGTGATGGAGTTAAGAGGAGAAGACGAAGAGTAAGGTCTTTTAAAAATGAACCCAGGGAGGTTATCGGCAGAGAGCGCAATAAAGCAATGGGAATCAGAAGGCCAGTGTTCTGGTTATCTATTGCTGCGAGCAGACCACCCAAAACGTAGTGGCTTAAAACATCAACAAATGTTCATTTAGCTCCTGGGTCTGGTTTGGGTAGAGCTAGGCGGGGAATGTGTGTCCCATTGAGGGCTGGGGGATGTGCCTCCAAGATGGCACACTCATATGGCGGGCGGCCAAGTTGGTCTAGCTGTTGGCTGGGAGCACAGCCAGCGCTGAGGGTTGGGGGTCTTGGTTCTTCTCCATAGGAGCCCCTCTATGTGGCTTGGGCTCCCTCACAACATGGTGGCTAGGTTCCAAAGGCAGGCATTCCCAGAAAGGGAGAGCCAGGTGAAGCTGGACTGCCTTGTGAACTCAGCTTTGTACGTTATGTAGCATCACCCCTACTGTGCTCTATGAAGAAGGAAGCCGAAAAGGCGCACCCAGGTTCACAAGAAGGGGGCATGGATTCCACCTCTTAATGAGGAAGTAAGAAGGTTCTGGAGGAGCATGTGAAATGGGAACATCTTGTGCCATTTCTGAAAAACTCCAACAGCCCCAGTCAGTGTTTGCTGCTTGGGTTGCTATCACACCTGCTACATGATTTTATCTTCCAATTTCCTTCTCCTGTCTTGTGCAAAAAGTTAAACACGGGAGTAATTTAAGATTGAACAGAGGTGACAAAAATAGAACAGCCTGGCCCCCACTGAGGCTGGGGGCTCCAGGAGGGCTCTGCGCATGCCTCGGATGGTCACTGCCAAGTTCTCAGTACCGTCCATCTGTGTCCGTGCCCTCTGACTCACAACTGTGATGTGTGTCCCGAAACAGCATTTTGAAGCGGGAAGGGCAAACCACTAAAAACAGAACCATCGTCCACAGCCGGCAGCAGTTGCAGATGGAGCAACATTTTTTATGATAGCTGCTGGGAGGGAGGTTTTGAACAGAAAGCTTTTAGGAACAGAGATCAGTTTCCTTCCTCGGCTCAAGTATTAACTCCAGGTTCTACCCGTGATGAGGGGCCAAGAGTGGGTTGGAATAGTCATGGGGGGCTGTGGGGGGATCAGTCAGGGAAGAGGGGGGGATAATGAATGTTATCTCTTCTAGTAAAATAACAGTTCACAAATCTCTGAATTCTTCTAGCTGAGACATGATACAGCTGAGCACCATAAAACAGAGTTGAACTGAGATATTTGCAGATAATGGTTTCCAAGAAGCAAGGGCTTATGGTTGTTTTGTTAAGGCATGAAGTCTACCTTGTTGTTTCTCATCTCCTTATCTGTCAAAAATCCCTGAGAGTCATAAGAATAGGTCTTCTAGCTTGATGGTGGACACCACACATTTTGGTAGGTTGACTGAGGGGCTTGAACTGAGCTAACAAGTATTTTGGGGTCATGGCATTGTCTGTATTGTGTTAGTGTATGACAAGGGGCTAGGGAATGTACACTTGCCTTCTAGAGTGCCTTAAACACACACATGCACCCATGCACATTCGTACACACAAGCACACATGCCCACTCCCACACACTCATGCACACACTCACACATGTACACAATCATAAACAGATACACAATGCACACACATATGCATGTACATGCACACACCCACTCACACATGGGCATGCACACACACATGCACGTACCCACACACGTGTACCTACACACACCCACACCTGTATGCACACTCACACACATGTACACACCCACACACGTGTACCTACACACACCCACACCTGTATGCACACTCACACCCATGCACACACCCACACACGAGTACCTACACACACCCACACCTGTATGCACACTCACACACATGCACACACCCACACACAACAGAACTATGTTCTGATTCAGGGTGATGAGCCCCAGGCTAAGGAGAGGCGCCCTCCCGCCGCAGTCCTCTGAGCTCTCCTCTTCCGCTCTCTCAGTTTTTTCACCCTCTTTTCCTCCCAAAAGCCCAAATCCTCATCAGAGGGTGAGAAAAGAATCATTCCAAACTCCCCCAGATTGAAGCTTTGATAGGAGGAAAGTGGGTTCAGCCCTCAAGCCCTCTCTATGTGCCCCACATTGCCAGAACCCGGGTCAGGTGTTGCCCGTTGACACCGTCCCGTGGGACACTGGATCCAGACCTCTCTGTGATGAAAGAAATCTCTGAAACGGCTTAAAAAAATAAACAGACAATGGCTTGGTCAAGCAGCTAATGTTAAAGCTAGAAGTCCAAATTTAGATCGCACCAAGCTAAAAGGGATGCTGTTGCGTTCCAAGGAGCTCCAGTGGTGCAGTGGTTAAGTGTTCAGCGGCTAAGTGAAAGGTTGGTGGTTTGAACCCACCAGTCACTCCGTGGGAGAAAGACCTGGCAATTTGCTCCTGTCAAGATTACAGCCTAGGAAACCCTATGGGGCAGTTCCACTCCTTCACATGGGGTTGCTACTTGAGGGCATACAACAACAACAACAACAGAGCATTCTAGAGGAGCCCCTGGGTGGTGCAAACAGGTTAAGTGCTCAGCTGCTAAACAAAAGGTTAGAAGTTCGAGTTC